GTTGGAAATGACTTAGCTAGCCCCACATTCCCACGGAGCTTTAGCCGATGGGCCTGGACAACAGCATGGAGGGAAAGCATGGCAGGTAACTAGAACTGTGGGAGCTGAGGGAGGGGAAGTCAAGTCTGGAAGGTGAAGTACCTGATGCTTCCTTTAGATAGCCAATCCCTCGGATGATCGCGTGGTAAGGGGTCAGCTTAGCTAACACGCTAAGTCGCCATCACTGATTTCTAAATTGTGTAAGTCCCAGCCAGCATTCTCTGTGCCAGAAAAATCTATGACGTGACAGCGAGGGTTAGGCAGGATTGTGTTCCTTGTAGTATGTACACCATAGATCAAACTGCTTCTGCGTGCAGTGGGTTTTAGGTAGCACAACACAGGCTAGTAGGAGGTGGTGACATTTATAGTTTAAAACTTTAAGATTAAGCGTTTCAGCTCCAGACAACAGCCTGTAGGACTCTTAGTTGTCTTTACATCATTAATTTAATTTTTTTTGTGCTCCAACACTGGCTGGTGAATGGTTTTCAAGTGTTTCGTGGGAACAGCCTGATGGATTCCTGCTTCGTACTTCAGAACTTGGAAAACCGATCATTGTAAAATTAGGAGCAAGTTGTGGAGGCCACCTGGCCTAGCTCTTACTACTGGTATAGGACACTCGAGCCTTGATCTCGCTTTTCATCAAACACATCCAGAAAAACACGTTTCTCTTAGAACGCATAACTGACAGTAATGTTTTCCGTTATAAATAAACGTCCATCTCAAAACCTCGCTTATCTCTGTGAAATATCAAAAGAGTCTCCTCTACCCTGTTGCTCTTAGAAGTTGCCACAGAATTTTGGGAGTTCCCAGAGGACTAGGAGAGGATGCAACAGAATATCAAGGAGAAAAAAAATCACCCACTAAGTCCTGAGATGAGGACGAACTTGAATTATGTAAATGAGGGCCATCACTGTGAAGGTGTAAGGAACATGTGTGGAACAGAATGAGTGGATGGTTAGATCTGCAAATGCATTTAGCATATTGAAAAGAGAGCTCGCTGGGGTCGACGGAAAAATGTTCAGGAACAGCACAAACAACAAAGTCGGCAGCTATGAACATGATGCTTTGCTCCCAGAAAGATAAAGAAAATCCTTCTACTTAGGCGAGACATGTCAGCACCGTGAACAAACACTGCACAGGCAAACAAACACATTTATCTTCATAAGAACAGTTAAAAGTGTGAAACTGGTTTTCTTCACGACAGTGCTCCTGATAAGGATGCAACTTGAGACACAGCAAGAATGTCAGTAACACAGCAAGACTGTTCATTCTGCAGCATCACACTGCGTGGCACTTATGACTTCTTTCTACATTATGTGCTGTGGCAGATCCTCTTCTGTGTGTGTGTGTGTGTGTGTGTGTGTGTGTGTGTGTGTGTGTGTGTGTGTGTGTCCTCAGCCTTGAACTCAGGGCCTGGGTGCTGTCTCAGAGCTTTTGTGCTCAAGGCTAGAGCTCTAACACTGAGCCACAGCTCTACTTTTGGCCTTTTGGTAGTTTATTTGAGATAAGCAGCTCATAGACTTTCTTGCTCAGTCTGGCTTCAAAATGTGACCCTCAGATCTCAGCCTCCTGAATAGCTAGAATTACAGGTGTGAGCCACCGGTACCTGGCCATTTTTAACTAGTCCCTGGGAGTTCCAGGAGATGTACCAAATCATTCAGGATATTAAAAAGCAAATATCCTACATTAAGCTACAAAGTGTATTCTTCAAAATACAGGGTTTTTTTTGAATTATGCCTTATGGCTTTCTAACTTCTATTTGTGTACCATGGAAACAAGATTCCAACAAGGGACCAGGTTTCATGATTACAAAAAGATTCTACCTTTCTAGAAGCAAAAATGGAAGAAGAAATTAGTAGGAGAGATCACTGGGATGGGAGAAAATTTTCTTTTACATTTAGAACTGTCACTAGATCCAAACTTACATATATGGAGGCCACTTCTAATACTTGCAGTAATTTCTTTAAAAACATAAAATTCAATTATTCCTTCAGTACTTAAAAATCCCTTCTCTTTATGAAGAAGAAAGAAGGATGGTCAATAGACACATGAAGAAATGCTCAACCTCCCTAGCCATAAAAGAAATGCAAATCAAAACAACATTAAGAACAACATTAAGATACCACCTCAACCCAGTTAGAATGGCAAAAATCAAGAACTCTAATAACAACAGATGCTGGAGGGGATGTGGACAGAAGGGAACCTTACTTCATTGTTGGTGAGAGTGTAAACTCGTTCAACCACTTTGGAAAGTAGTATGGAGGTTCCTCAAAAGACTCCACATAGAGCTCCCTTATGACCCAGCAATCCCACTTTTGGGCATTTACCCAAATGTTTACAAACAAGACCACACTAAAGCTACCGGCACAGCTATGTTTACTGCAGCATTATTTACTATAGCTAAGATATGGAACCAACCCAGATGCCTATCAGTAGATGAATGGATCAAGAAAATGGGGTATATATACACAATGGAATTCTATGCTTCCATCAGAAAGAATGACATTGGCCCATTTGTTAGGAAATGGAAAGACTTGGAAAAAATTATATTAAGTGAAGTAAGCCAAGCCCAAAGAAACATTGGTCCCATGGTTTCCCTTATTTGCAATATCTAGTATATGTATGAGTCAAGCAGAAAAGGTCAGATAAGGTGATGTTAGGGAAATGAACCCTAAGATATGTATTCAATTGTTTTTTTTCTTTCATGCAATTGTTTCTAATGCATTTATAAGATAATTTCTTTGTTGCTTTGTATGTCCCTCCCCCACAGTATAACCCGTGTTTTCACTGTAATTGATGTCGGTATAATTTGTGGAGGGGAAGGGGAAAAACAAGTCGTTTAAATAAGGATACAGGTGGACCCGTTGCAACAATGAGATGTACAAGTTGTTATGTCGAAAACGAACTTTACAACTTTGGTGGGGGGGGTGGGCGGAGGATTGGGTGTGGGGGCCGGGGGAGGATGGGAAGGGATGGGAAGGGGAAACAAAGGAAGAGGCTACAATTCTTAATAAGAAATGTACTCATTATCTTGCCCATGTAAATGTGATTTTCACAATAAAAAATAAATAAAAATTTTAAAAAATTCCTTCTATTTATGTTGTGTTTTAACGTGGGAAAGCAGCTATTTAATAGTTACTGTCTATGCAGTTCAATATCAAAGCAGTCACTGAAGTAAGAGACCTTTGTTCCCACCACCAAGTTCTTGCTCATGGCTTCCACTTAGTATTTCTGTACTTTAGAAATAAAAGCTCATAAAATTAACCATGGTTTAAAACATACCAATTACTGATGAATATCAATATCACTGATGAAACACTATCACCCACTGGTGAAGAGCAGGCTCCTCAGTTTACCAAAGTTACTTATTTGCGCAACATATCTTTTAATAAAGCCAGCATTTCTTGTGATTAGTAAGAAAGAAATTTGGTTATCATGCTTTTAACCATTTCACTATGAACCTTTTTTGGTATGTATGCCAGTATAGTACTGAAGTTTGAATTCGCGGCCTTGCAATTCGGCTTCAATAGTTTTCCCAAGACAGGGCCTCTACCACTTGAGTCACAACTTTACTTTCCACTTTTTGGTGGTTAATAGGAGGTAAGAATCTCATGGCATACCTGCTGAGGCTGGTTTTGAACTTCAATCCTCAGATTTCAGCCTTCAAAGTCTGCTAGCTACCATGAATTATTGTTCCTTGTTCATTCAAATTCTCTTCTAGACTGAAGTAATTTGTAAATATTGATTCTGTTGTCCTTTTTAACTCTGATATGTATCTTTCCATTAATGTTAGTTTCCTGAGTCTTTTTACCTCTTGCTTCTAATAACTGCCTAAAAAATTAATAAGTGAAGGAAAATAAATAAGAAATACTAGTTTTTAGCTTAAGTTTTACTACAGTGCATTCTAAATGTGATTTCTTACTACACACTACTATAGGTAACAGTGTAGCAAGGTTCAGGGAGCTATTATACATTTTTTGCTGGCCATAGGACTCTACTCTGAGAATCTTTTGCTTGTAATTTTCTAATAGAGTGAGGGAAAATCATTAGATATTGCAGTTTTGGTGTTCTACCTTATTAAGAGAAAATCAAATCTTTCCTTTTTTCTCCCTTTTCCTTCTCCCCTATACACACTCACACACACCCATAAACACCCACACCCACACCCATACCCACACCCACACCCCCCCCCCCCCCCACACACACACTGTATAACAGATGAACTTCTTCCATGAACTATGTTTTATGGCAAATCTGTTTTTGAACACCCCTTGTAAAGTGGCAATGTACTAATGGATATTACTATTTCAATGATCAAGTTAGCATTATTCACTTGCAAATATGCACTGAATTTCAAAGTTTAAGTTTTACAGAGCTCCATAAAGCAAGGCACATTTGTATCCTGCTAGTCACTTTTTCTTGTTACTTTTTACTCTTAAGATTTTAAAATCTTTACTTCTCGACTCTTCCATTTAAACATACAAATTTGATGGATTTATCTTGCCATCTGATATGTTTCTTTGGTCTGAAAACATGGTCAGAAGTTTGGACCAAAGCAGGAAGCAACTGTCCAGAAACTAAATGTTTGAGTCATCTTCTCCCTCTCTCTTTCTCTCCTTGGTGAATTGATAAATGAGGGTCCAGTGAGAGAAACTCCACTAATACAATTTCCCAAGCAATCTCTCTGGAGAGACACGGCTTAGCCACAGACCGGCCCATCTAAGCCCTGTGTCCCAATCTCGAACCTGGAAAGGTTCTTCTGCTTTGAGTCAGTAGACACGAGAGACTATATTTCAGCAACTAGAATATTATTCTTTGGAGAAAGAACAATGGAATCTTGAGTTTGCACATCAAGTCATACGGTCTGTGGCTAATGCAGGTAGCTAAACGTTAAGGCCAAGCTGGCTACATGCAGGTTCTCAGGCAATTACAAGATGAAAGTGAGATAAATTGGCACTCACAGTTGTGGCAGGTGGCTCCGCTGTACCCCGTCTCGTCACAAGTGCATTTGAAGCCCTCCCATGTTTGAGAGCACTTTCCACCATGCTCACAGTGGTTAGGCACACATCTGTCAGAGAAAGAGATGAACAGAAATAAACCAACAGACAAAGGAGATTTATGAGTGGCCAAATTCCAAGCTGTTGGGGCCATCTATCATTTCAATGCCAGGTTGCCTTACGAAGGTAATTAATCCTTGTTAGTTTAGGCAGATTAATATGATTCGTGATGGAAGGTGCCAGACACACAAAAGATGATGTATCACAGGCTTGGTGTTTCCCAGTTTTGAATAAACACTAGATACTAACACACAGTGGAAGGATGTATTTGCATATCACAGATTCCTTTGAGTTGCCTTTTACCCAAAGACAAAGGCATTGGGGAACTTTGCTCCCAGTGAGAGATGGAGAGCAGCCATCTTGCTTGCCATTCTATTTTCCTTTTTAAAGAAGAACCACCATCTTAGGGAGAGTTAGCACCGAGTTTTCCGTAATAATTTCAGCTTTTGAAATAATGCCATGACATTGTGATGAATGTAGGCTAACCTGATAAGAATATACACACATACCTCCCTTGCCCCAGTGTCCTTGTGTTTAACTTAATATTGAAAACATAAAAACTGTGTATACGAATGGCCCATGGTGTGATGTGTTCATGCATATTTACATTGTTTAATGCTTAGATTCATTTAAAGATATCTATCTCCTCGAATAGTTGCTACTTATGGTAAAAAATATTCAAAGCATTTTCTTTAGCTCTTTGCAAGAGAGTTAAAGAATAGATTTATTTTTATAATTAACTAATGTGTAACACACACCAAAACTTCTATTCATAACTAACCGTTATATAGCACTCCTAATTCGCTTTCCATGATCATTTGTCCTCCTCCCAAACTCCGGTAAATACCGCTCTCCTCTCAGATTCTATGGGATACACATTTTAAGGTTCTCTAGATGAGTGATACTTGTCTTTCTATGTGTGGCTGATTGTCCTTAACAATGGTCTTCAGTTCCACGCACTCCATGGCGAATAACAGAATCTCCTCCTTTTTAATGGCTTAATGGAATTTCATTGTGTATATGACCTACATTGGTTTTGAAGGCAATGCTCATAAAGTAGATAAATAAAAGATAGGAACTATAGGGTCAATAAATAAGAGCTATATTTATCTGCACCACAGCTTTTATAGCACAATTTCATACCTTGACTCTACCTTAATATTAGCAAAGCTGGAAAATTGTCTGAAACATTTCTGGTTGGATAATATAAACTCCTTTATCCTGGTTCCATCTCCTAACCCCCAAATTACTTTATTCATATCCTTTACACACTTGCTTTAGTTTTTGTTATTGTTGTTAAGAAGGCATCTTCCTGGTTAAGATGCTCAGGGACTTAACAGGACTTCTCAAAATAGATCTACATTTTAATAGGAAATTCAAACCCAGCAATTTCCTCTCAAATTTAAGGGGCAGAATTCATAACAGTATGCCAAGGCTGCTGGACTGATAGAAAGCCAGGCTGTATAGAGACCCTTAGCTACAATGCCCTAATAGCTTCCTGCTACAGAATGTGATATGGTCTCTGAGTTCACATCCTTCAATCCCCAACCATGGTTTATCATCAACTATGCCCAGAACCCTTTGCATAGGGCAAGGCTCAGCGTGACACGGAACCCCCAGACTCGATGAAGTTGAGCTCTTCCGCCACAATTCCACATAAACTCTTTATCCTGGCAACAAATGTCTATTGAGAGCTTGCTATAGGCACATGGCTACAGAAAACATAGGGGTAAGACTGTGTTCAGTCCCTGAATGTGTTGACTGCTTATGGAAGCTACATTACATATGAGGACAGTAAGGGAAGGCAGACATGAAAAACGGCATGAGGCAGGGAGAAAGTAGATGAACTCTCACAGGAGGGGTACCATGGAGATTTCTGGTACAATTAGAAGCTTTAGATTGAACATCAATGAATGAACAGGGGAAAAAAGAAAAACAAGAGAAAGAGCACTAGGTTGGAGAGCAACAGAAACAGAATAATAACCTTGGATTATCATGAGAAATGGAAAATTCGCTTTCTTTCAGAGACACCTATTTTTCTTCCAGCTGTAGAGAGGCTGCAAGATGGTTCTTCTCTAAAGACCCTGTAACTAAAATGGAGGTTGGAATGAGAGAAAAAATTCATATGAAATATAATGCCAGGAAGAACTTGATATTAAAGGATATAGAGATCTTGGTACCAGAGTAGCTCTGAGTATAGAAGGCTTCACCAGAGGGCACACAGCATTTCCCCTGGGTCTTATAAGGGATGTTGCATTTTTATGATTACAGTGTTGAACTGTGGTCCTAGCCAGAAGGGTGTGTGCCACCGGGGACCCTGCCCACAGACAGACACCCAACAGGAACCACAGCAAAGTGGTTCTGTCTGTGGTTCTATCATGGTTCTGTCTGACAGCTGTCCTCCACATCATGGCAGCAAGCAAAGGAATAGATGCTTCAAAATTACAAGCAGCGAAAGTGCTCTTGAGTCTGAATGGTGACATTCAGGAGGGATACCTCTTTGTGTGGTATATTTACTTTGTGCCTCTTTATGGGTTCATATGATTAGCTCAGTGTAATAACAAAAGTCATTTACCTCAGTTCATTATATCAATTAATTCAGGGAGAGGTAGTGCAGAAGTGTATTGAGCAGTGTAGGAAATCCAACTTGAAATCTAAATGTGTTCTAAACACTCTTTATGATGAAAAGATTATTGCATATGTAGCAAGAAAGGAAGCATGCAACCCATGAGAGAGAAAATTAATGGAATACAGCTAAAATTCAGTGTTGGGTTGCTTTGAAAGTGAGGAATCTTACTGAGAGTATCTTAATATCTTATTTTAATGTCCACTATTAGAATTCATATTTAAAAGTTATCATCCTCTGTATGCAGACTATTGGCATACTAATTCTTAATGGTGGAACTATTTTATTTCCAAATCAATGAGTATGCCATTTCAAATCTTAGTATCTTACCATTATATATTTTAACCATTAAGACAAGTACCAAGGAGGACAAAATGCAAATCAAGTTAGTGATTAAATCTTTCTAATTATTTAGCCCTTCTCTTGTATGATCATAGAACCATTAAAATATATAATCATCTTATTTGTGATTATTTTATAGGACATATGTCTCTTTTAACTATGGTGAAGAATGTTTATCTCACAGTTGTTTGCCTAACAAAGTATCTAGGACAGCCTGAGCAAGTACTTGACTGACGACATAAAAAAAAAAAAATACAACTAGCAAGTGATACTACCAAGGACTCAGACTTTACTTCAGAGCCTATAATATCTTTCACAATGGGAAATATAGATTATTTTTACCTATGATTTTGCTCTTAAGCCCAAACGCTGCTACAATAAATGATTTCTTCTAGCTGACTACAGGAAATGTATAATTTGTTTCATGGCATGTCCTAGTTTAAAACCTTGATTCCCATAAAAAATGAAACAAAATGATTTGACTGCTTCTACTTGGAAAAGGCCTGCCTGGAATCAGGACCACATAGGGCAGAAGCTGGCAGATGTCAATTTGCTGTGACCAAGGGTTGTAGAAAAAGTGATCCTCGCAATTACTCTTGCTCCAGGAAGTCCTGGCGGCTGAGAGACAGTCAGCTCAGATCATCCTTGCTGTTATGGCTTTTCAAAGTGCTTGAGATCAAAATGCATATCTTTTTAAATGAAGCCTATTTGTATCCCCAGTATATGAGACAAAAGCTACACTTGGAGAATTGAAATGTCCACCAATTACTTAAGATAAAATGAATGAGCTCAGGCTGCGGGGCTGTTTGGAAGGGTGCAACAACGCAATTCAGGGCTGCCGAGGACAGCTGCAGTTTTATTTTACCCATAGCATCTCTTTTATTTCTATACTTGATTTTAATCGCAAGGCACTGAGAAAATTGGGATTCATTGATGTAAGAAACCAGATTTGTTTGTGTATAGCATCTTACTTCTAAGTTTATAGTAGTACTAACCTAAATAGTGAGAGCAGAGGAAATTTTACTTCATTTCTAGATGATGTTAGTATGACAAAAATAACAGAGTACTTTGGAAATCTTAAGAACTTTGAAGCTTTATTTTTTGAGGCCAGTAGCTCACAACTGTAATCTAGCTACATAGGAGTTTGAGATCTAAAGATTGCAGTTCAAAGCCAGCCCAGGCAGGAAAGTTCATGAGATTCTTGTCTCCAATTAACCAGCAAAAAGCTGTAAGAGAATTGCTTTCTCAACTTTACTGAAGAATGTTGTTGGGTTTTGATGGCCATTGTATTGAACATGTAAATTGCTTTAGGCAGTACTGCCATTTTTACAACATCAATCTTCCAATCCAGGAACATGGCATATCTTTCCATTTCCTTAAGTCTTCAATTTTTTTTTTCAAATTTTTGAAGTTTTCACAAGGGAATTCCTCTACATCTTTGGTTAAGCTAATTCCTAGGGATTTTCTTTTAGGCTATTAAAATGAGGAAGCTTTCCTGCTGCTAGTCCTGTCTTCCCTGGAATAACATAAGACCACAAATGGCCAAAGCACTGCTTAACAGAAAGAACAGTGTTGAAGGAATATCAACACCAAACTTCATACTCTATGACAAAGCCATAGTAGTAAAAACAGCTTGGTACTTGCACAAGAATAGACCCAGATTAGACCCAGAAGTGAACTCACAGAATTATGGTCACCTAACCTTTGATAAAGGAGCCAAAAACATAGGTTGGAAGAAAGACAGACTCTTCAACAAATGGTGCTGGCAAAATTGGCTATACTGATGCAGAAAATTGAAGCTAGATCCTTATATATCATGCCAGGCTAGAATTGACTCAAAATGGATCAAAGACCTCAATGTAAGGTCAAAACCCCTTAAAATATTACAGGAAAGGGTAGGGGAAACAATAGGGCCCTTAGGTACAAGTTGAAACTTTCCAGGAAAAGATCCAGGATCACAACAAAAGAAGGAAAGACTAGATTAAGGGATTGCACCACACTGAAAGGTTTCTACATGGCAAAGGGTATAGCTAGCAAGATAAA